GTGCTTGTGCGCTTGCCAGTACCGCGCGTGGACGACTACGTAGTGCTCTCAGCTGGGCCGCGGCCTGGACCCTCGGTACTGTAAATTACTGCTGGACGGCGTACAGTTGAGCTACGCGCACTCTTACACAGCTGCTTCCCTCCTGTAATGAGTTTCGACGTTTCTTTCTTTGCTTCACACAGCCCTCAGGTGCCACGTCTTTCCTCCCTTGCCCTGCGCGAGCTGTTCTTGTCCAGCAGCTTGACGTGGTCATAGACGTCAAGGATGGCGTCACTACAACATGTCTTTAGCGACTGTTGGCAAGAAAGCGATCTTTGGAGTACACACAACGGTGAGCTTGTCGCGAGATGAACACAACAGGGTGGATCGTTATTAGACATGCGTTTTTTTTTGTTTGGGTTGGTAGACATTTTGGCACATTGCGATTGCCTCGGATTTCGATTCCGATCGGTAAAAATGCCTCAACAAAGTCATCGATGTCCATTCGTCTTTGCACACATGCCCAAGGTATTATCGCAACGCTGATAATAGAGCTTTGCGTTTTACTCTGTTGCCGTGGCGAAAAACATGTAGAGGGGTAGCTGTAACATAATGGTATTGAATAAAAATCAAGAATAGCAGACCTGTTTCAAGAGTGTATTGGGATCAAATACTGAATTCAGGACAGGAAGCAATTGCCCACCGGCTTTTTGTCGCCACCCCCAATTGCAAAGCTCTTCGCTCATTGAACAAGGACGACTGTACAATTTTTGAATGGTCTTGACACACATCTTAAGAATCGCTTCGCATACGTATCAAGGCGATTCAACTTGCCGCATAAGACGTTTATAGCGTAGCGTGATGCATCCATTAAAATTTCTTTATACTGTACGGATAAAGAGTTATACTCGTGCGCACGCCTTGGCTTTTGCAATGAGCTCATCAGAATACTATCTCATATGGTTATTGCGTTGGGAATGAACTGCTTGCGAAACAGTTTGTTCCCGATGCAAAAGCCCTCCTACAACCTCAAATAAGGAAAGAAAAAATGAGGATGTTCTATGCTGTGGCCTGTCGAGCGCGCCGTGTGCCGTGTGGAACCAAAATGGCATTGTCAACTGCCCGAGCGGCGAGCGGGGCCATCTTTCTCAGCAGCCACACCACAAGGAAACATAAAATTCAGTACTGTACCGCATCTCTTCGTCAAGGTTAAACTTGGAAACCTGGATTAAACCGACTGTGAAGCTTTCAATAGGAGAGAAACTGAATAGGTTACGTTATCTCCGTTAGTGACATCTACTCGTTACGGACGTCGGTGATATTCAGGATAGTGCTTCGCCACCGTCTTCTGTCGGCAAGTAGGGGAGGGGGACCCCGTGGAGAAATAACTTGCTGCTACAGAGTAGCTCTGCCCCGCACACCGCTCAAATCACAGTAAAATTCACAAACAGTACCCTTACAGTACTGGGATGCAGTACAAGGGTATTGCAAGTGATGGGGTCAAGACCAATCCTTTTGATATTTGTACATAAACTCTTATTATTGAATTGAACGACAATATGCAAGAAGCGGCTCTGTCCCACATCACCGGCCTACGGTAGAGCGTGCGGTAACGCCAAGCGCATTTGGAGAGTAGGAAACAGTTTTGACTACCAAAGCAAAGCGGCGGCGGGTCCGAGGAAATACAATAGCAATCAAGCTGTACCTACTTACAGTCCGTTTGGGAGTTCCGGCCGTAACGCACAGGGCCCCCCGTCAACTGCCTGTCCGTATGCAACATGACATTTCCGTATCCTTTCACGAGCTGAGGAAAATATCAACTGGCCACCAATGTGGCTCTGCACGGCAACTTTCTCTCTTGCGCAACAGTCCACGACAAGCATCTACAGTATACTCTTCCAACTACTTCGAAGTAGAATAGACAGACAACAATATCAAAACATATTGCATTCTCTTCGTTTGGATACACAAAAAATACACATATACTGTAGTAAAGCTCTCTTCTCCAGCACTGAAATTCAATATCGACAGCGGATAGATGGATGAATTGTGACAGCAATTCATCTGCGTATACGTATTGAGCTTGACGACAATTCAGTGATAATGGCTTCTCATTGAATTGCTAAAGTGCAATTCCGTTTTCAGAAACAGGGCTGTTGAGCAGGAGTCTTCATGGTAGCACTGCAACTCGTAAACCGTACCCGTGTACCGTACCCATGTGCACATGAGGTTAACTCAAGGAGAAATCTCTCAAATTTCGTTCTGCAGCTGCCTCAAGCTGGTCTGGCCATTTCTCTACTTCCTCTCATAGAATAAACAGCTTGCGATGGAATAGGGCTTGCCCTGCAGCAAAAAAAAAGTCTATATTCGAGAAATAGGAATTTGCACCTCAATATCGGCTCCTTTGGTTCAACACCAGCTGAAAGAACGATGGAAAACTGCCTACTCAGACCTACTATTGAGTCTGGGCCCACCGAACCGTTGACTACGAAGAAACCGTACCCTCAAGTATTTTATACAATCCCCACTGCGAAACGCATATAGTACTATGGATGGAAAGTATCGCCGAGTATCCAAGAGATGAGGGAGAGTACCCGACAGCAGGCAATATGGAAGGGCATCGCTTTTCCCAGCTCGTGAAGGTGAGAGGATCGTGCTGTAGCATGTACTCCTCTTGTACACACCTGTGCTCTCAAGATGATTCGACTCGTCCTATTCATCCGATTCAGAGTCCGTTGGTGTGGAAATTTCTTCTCCGTCCATTGCGAGTTTCCACTTGGTAGTGAATCATGAGCAAGGAAAGGTCTATGAAGAGGGCAGCTTCCTCCTCTAGGTCATACACATCACGCGAGGATTGAGGCTGGAACACTTAGAGCAAGCTCATGTTCCCGTATGATACAGTATTCTTGTAAGAACTGTAGCCCTCACTGTCCTTCGCAAAACTTCGGCTCTAGTTCCAAGCGAGCTGTTTGTCCACTCGAAATAATAATCGCTACGCAAACTGGGTGGTTGTCTCTGGCATGGACAATCAGTTTATTTCTGCGAGGTGTAAAAGTGCAAGCCTCTTGCTCTCGTGCACAGTCTCAAGGCAATTATTGTGGCCGAACACATGGAAGACATTATGGTGTAAGGAATGAGACGCTGTCCTAAACAGTAGAGGTGATGTCTGGCACCATGCGCCTGGACGATGATATTCTGCGCTAGTTGTGGGTCACGAATGGTTCGCAGACGAATCCGCCCAGCTGTTCGATACACTCACCAGGCACCTGCTTGCCGACTGCAATACATTACTACTGTACGTGGAGCTGAAGCGGTTTTCAAAAAGTTGCTGTGAGGCTTTCCCAATACAGTATTGGCACTTCATGAAATATGGGACACCTATGAATGTGATGTAGACGTCGAGTCCCTCAGCATGCGCATGTTGTGGTATTTCACAGACATGCGCAGGTGAGGTAGGAAAAATAAAGAGAATTTAATATTTGTGAACCCTTCGACTGAGTTGATGCCTCGCAATGGTGGGCGCTCGTGTGAGCTCGTGTGATCAAGCCACTTCACCAGCGGGACGTTAAACACTATTCTACCTTCCATCTTCTTCCTGTCTCGCTACAGTATTCGAGCGAAGGCCTTGAATATAAGGGCAGTGAAAACCGGCAAGTGCATCTATCTGTATTGCACAAAAGCGTATACGTAGGTTGCTAATTTCTACACATGTTATACATCGTACATGTTGTCCTTTCCAAACTTTCCATTTATATTCTGCGAAGGTAACGAATTGTAGTCTGACAGCACCTCATAGGTCGCTATTCGCCAATGCCCGAAGTTCGCCATCAGGCACTTAAAAAAGGCAGTCGGACTTCGCAACCATATTCGTCGTGCATTTCCTACGTACGGTATATGGCAACCAATAACATGCATCTTCATAGAAGCATTACGCTATGTACCAAAGAAGGCACGGACAACTCCAGGATCAACCTGCGGTGCGTGCTCATTGCAGTTGAGATAATGGAACCTTAGGTTTTGCCTCTTGCAGGGATATAGTATCTGGTTCAATTCTTATGATTTAATGTTCAGGCGCCGTTGGAACAAAAAAAAGAACAGAAAACGGGGTTCTCCTTACAACAAGGATCGCGAATTGTAGTCTGTAGGTTGAATAGAGTCGCGAGACGCCAGATACACCCAGTGGATTTGCATTAGGACCGCCTCCTGGTAAGCTACAGAGCTCTCCAATCGCGGGGCGGGGCGAGAGGGTCAGCCAGACGGCTGCATTGGTTGTCCGTTTTCTGTGCACCTCAAAGCTACGAGTAGCGATACCACTTCTCGGTTTAAATACTGTACTGCTGTGTACAGTCTCGCTCACACCAATTAGAGAGATGCAGACTCGTGCTGAGACCCAAATTCTAACAGACACTGCCTTCTTCGGCAAGCACTGCATGTATTCTCAACCTTCACGGCAGGCTACGTTCGTGGAATAGTGAGCAATTCTACCATGAGTGCGAATCTCGATTCATTACACTGAACTGCATTGAGATTGCTCATGGTGCGGTCAAGGTACGTCTACATGTGATAGTGCACTCGTTGGATGTCATGGAACAGGAGTCTTAGCAGTTGCAGAACGATGTCACCAACGGAAGCGAAGCGAATGTGGCAGGCAGGATATTCATTGGAAGCGCTGCAAATTACTCACAGCATGCAATAAGATGTTGATGCAATAATGCAACACCTTCGACTACTGTATCCCATACTTCTCTATCACTTACAATAGCCTTCGCACTAGCGATGGCACTGCATAATATGCAGTGCCCTCGCATCTTATGCCATCATACTATGATTCTGAAGAGGTGCTGATAAGTCGAATCCTCTTTCTCTGCTTGGATTCGAGCTTAAAGCTCTAGACTAGAATATCAGCAGAGCTGAGAAAGTAAAGGAACGCCTGGGCTTCATATACCTCACATTCATTAGAACAAGATTGTGTTCACCTCGTATCTCGCAGAAGGCTAAAGATTTGCACTAAAGACTACAGGTATGACTTTGATGGGTTCCTGATGTTTTCAATGTCTGCTTTCAGATCGAGCTTCGTGTATGAGCGTTTGCCCTCCTATGTTTAGGATGAAGCGGCAACGGGGAGGAAATGATCAGGAGGCGATCTTATGATCGTACAGTATCGGTTTAGCAAAGAGCTGGTGTTTGGGCCTGAAGCACCGCAAGGAATATAAATGGTAGGACAAAGGGGGGGGAAGGTACTGGGTGCGAGGAGAAGGGTTTTGACTACTGCGGCAAGACAATGCAGAATGCATAATGGCATCAAGGTTTTGTCACTGAGGCACGATATCATGTCTCTCCGCAATTGGGAAGTCAGAATGGATGCAAATGTGTGTTGGGGAGAGCTTCTTGGCGAAACGGCAAGCCGGACAAAAGTCAAAGGACCTCGCCACCACCCATTTGCGAATAGGCGGCTGTTGTTTGCGAATAGGCGGCTGAACTATTTCGAAAAATTTAGCATAACGCAGACCAAAAGACCACATATATCCGCATTTGCATCCACTTGGCGTAGGTGTGACGCCTGCCGGGAAAATATCGGAGTGGTACGATGCCAAAGGCATTCTCCACGGCGCGTATGGTGGCTTTCCTGCAAAAGGAGTGTGCAAAAGAAGAATGGAAAAGCAGAATAATGGTTGGATCATACCACTTTTGCACAACCGTCGCGCAATCTCATTGGATATATGCAAGGGGTCATGTCGTTTCGGTATATGCGTTCGTGCCCCCTGTCGGCGTTCCACCGGTGTCAAAGTGGACTAGTCGTCTCTATCAGAAAAATTATAATATTACAGTGAAATAAAGATCTTCCATCCCATTCCAACAAGACCTTTCCGCAGAGTATGAAGCCCAAGGCGGTTTACGTTGAGGATGAAGCAAACGGGTGGTCCGATCGACTGGCAGGGACATTGCCCTCGGCAGCAAGACAGTGTTTCACGAATGAATTTTTCTGTGCCCGCTGAAGTGCCTTCGAATAATATTGAAATTTCTAGCCGAAAGGCGTTTCAGGGAGGCGAAGTGCGAAGAGGGTTTGGTCGAAACGGAGCGGAAGTCGTCTTGACATTTCTTTCCAAAGATCTTTGATACGAGACATGTCCACTGGAATACTGTGCACTAGACAAACGGAAGGGACCCGCGGTTGGAACATATCCTTTTTTTAAAGAAAAACTCAAGATTGCATTGGATTGAATCCTGGACGTCGTTGGAACTCTCTACTTGTTCCTCCAAAAACCGTATGATACATCCCCATTCCACCCCTGACGAGATTCTAAGAGTCAAAACGAGACTCGTTTTTGGGTTCAAACACGAGCCTTCCTTTGAATGCCTTCTCCGCACCTCGGAATCGCCGTCAAGCTCATGGCACGCACTCTCAGGTAGAGCTCGCTCATCTTAACAACTACTCTTACATTTCGTGCAGCACTCAAGCGCGCGCCGACGCGAAAGCTGATAAGATCATTCACTCCTTCGACCAGAGGTTCAGAAATCCTCTTTCCGTTGACAAGCCCTCAGTCGCATCCACCCTTCTCACCTTCTGCTTCTTGGTTGAGTCCCATCTACACTATCTGCTGTGACAACCCAGAAAGATTATCACCATCTATCCCGCAATCCCACGAACTTCACTTCATCTCAAAGCATATTTGATTTCATTTTTACTTTCACATCCTAGTCGCCCTCGCCTTAATATTTTGTACGCACAAGCTTCACAACAAGCCCGGCAAGTCTTTCTTACTCTTATTCACAAGCCAAGGTTCCTGAAAGTCCTCGTTCAACGTTTTTCTTTTCAAAAAAGCAAGTCGAAAAGTCTGACACCTTGACACCAGCTACTCCTCTCCACACCAATGGTTCGTGTTTGCGAACTTTGCCCGGAAGGGAAAGCAAGACAGGCCGTCGTCTACTGCCCTGCTGATGCATGTTTCTTATGTTCAGCCTGCGACGAAGAAGTCCATTCCGCAAATCGCCTCGCTGGCCGACACGTCCGACGCGCTGTCGCCACAGACGATGGTGGTGACGGATCTAGCATCAATGACGATTCCGAAAATGCCCTTGTACCAGATGTTGCCGAACTAGATGAAGGCGAACATTCAGACCCGAGCTCTTCAGAAGATATGTTGCTTATGAGCCTCCCCATTCAAGTCCCGTCTTTCGAGGATGCCGCGGAATACGACTTCGATTTTGAAGGAGGCCTCGGAGGGAAGATGCCCGCTCTGTGTGCCATCGACGACGACGCCCTGTTCACTGGGACAAAGTCTCTCGGAAAGAGTTTTTACGGTGATATTTCATGGGAAAGTGTTGTTCCGGAAAACATTGAACATGTTGTACCAGACGTGTCCGCTCCAGGGATGGGCTTTTTCAAGCGAGAAGCTGTGGAGGTGGACGCACCTATGAAAGTTGTGTCGTCATCGACTGCTGCGTCCTCAGTTGGAGATCTGAAGAGTCAACCTGAAGTGACGAGTATATCTGTGGTTAACCGACCAGGAACGATTGTGAGAATCGATGGGGCAGTAGTTAGCAAGGCTGAACCGACGTTGTCGTTATCGTCGACGGGAAGTAGTATAACGGGTCAAAAACGATCCAGGGAGGAGGACGAATCTTCAGGGGTCAGTGGGGACAAGACAAACGCTGAGAAGGATGAGGCGGAGCGGGCAGCCGAACAAAGAAAGAAGCGCCGAATGGAAGCATTGGCGCGGTTCCGTAGCAAGCGAGCGAATAGGTCATTCACCAAGAAGGTGAGATACGAATGCCGAAAGCAGCTGGCCGACTCGAGACCACGGGTGAAAGGACGGTTTGTGCGAAAGATAGAAATGGCACTATTTAGAAAGTACGGTGCCCTCTATCGTGAGCACTTGGATGAGCTGGAAGGAGCAAAAAAGGAGGTCAAGGGCGACCATCGGGTGCCGGCAATTTAGGCTCGGACTTGAGATGACGTTGTACGCTGGGGAGCGCACCGTCAAACATTTGTTATTACATTTTCATCGACAGGCGACTGCAGGCCACCGACAGGCCGTCGGTCGGAGCTGCCTCGTACGGCAAATGAGTTTGAACGACATGAACATGAGTCGCAGTCGACATGCAAAGACCATAACCGCATTTTGGACAGCGACGGTGGCATAGAGGTGCATATGAATTATTCAGGCTTGCGATAAATGGCCACTTGGCAACAATTTTTTCCAATCCTAGCGCAGCTCTTGCTTCGCACTATCCTTTCATTATGCAGTAGTGATTCTTTAGCTGTACAGTTTGTGGCTCATCGCAGGGCTACATCACTCGTGGGAATCCGTGAGGTGAGAGACAAGATGTCTTTTAAAGGGGTCATTGGCGCTGCGCTGTTTCGACCGCTGAGATGTGGGGTCTTCAAGACCTACAAGGACTCGGTGGACCATTGCGATGATTTGCTTTTTGTGGTAGCTGGATGGTAGGTTGAGGCATTTCTGTGAGGAATAGTTTGTGACAAGGACACCGCCCCGTCTTTATATAAAGTTAATCCATTCCGATAAGGAAGATACAGTATGGAAGAATTGTAAAGTGGGCACATGTGAGGTTCAAAACGACATGACGAGAGAACGCCACCTATCCATCTCTAATTCAGATACGGGACTGGAGACAAGAGCTGCGACATGTATAGTACAGAAGCACGTAGGGTAAGGGTACCCTTCGTACTGTACAAGTGCAGTACGAATGCTGTACGGGTACAGTACCCAAGTACGACAGTGCCGGGCACAACATGTTGTGCCCGGCATTGTCGAACCGAGTGTTTGCTGGTTTTGGAGCGGTCGCCGAGAATCCACTCGGCTCAACAGGAGTGCACCCGATGCTCGCCGCTCGTCAAGAAATCCACTCGACGTCCAGGCCTGCACCTATTCGCATCGTCGTCGGGATATCCTGGGTCTGCGGCTAAATTATCGGTAGCACACGCACGGGGTCCCATCTCTTCATGCCGCCTGCCCGATTGGAGAGTCGCAGAGCGCCCGTCAACGGCCCGATGGCGTACGTCACTCCTATTCTTCCGGTCGACCTCGTCATTTTCCTTACTCCTAGTTCCTAAGATCAGCAGCTTAGATTCCTCAATTTCCTTCATGCTGATCGGGTCCTCGTCGCTCAAATAGTAGGTGCTTAAGTGGCAAGACCTCTCTCCACTCCTTAACAGTGATGTTAGGGGCGGAGATATCGGGACTTTTCCACAATTGTACCTATCTACGTAGGACATGGCCATGACCCTACGACTTCCGTCAAGGGTCAAGAAGCGGCAACTTTCTGTAACGTCTCGACTCGCACGCCAGTAGTAAAGACATATGACAGCCCCCGTCACCATAACCCCCGCAATAATAGCCAAGCCACTAATAAATAGCTCGTTCACCGTGGCCACCGTTCGCGTCTCAAAACGAGCTGTCCCGGACCTCACCTTCAGATTATCCGAAATCCATAACACCCTGGTAACAACTCTGAGGTCGGAGGCCTCGTCCCACCGAGTACGTGTGAACCACAAGCTCTCGAAGTCAACCGTGCTGAGTTGCAGCGCCTGATATGCTGACACTAGTTCATCACTTGAGTCCCATAGTTTCCTACGGCAAATCGAACGACCGAACTTACCGGCACCCACTGGAGCCAGACACATAGTAGCGTCGTTCCCATCTCTGTGGACGGAGACTGCTGTCGCCCTGGTGACGGCCACCGTGTAGTTATCGCCCCAAGCAATCTCTCCAGTTACTCGTCCAGTGGCCGAACTAGCGGACATGCTACGCGCTGAGCTCAACTTACTCCAGCCAGCTTGGATTTGATACTTCCGCCCATAGTCTACATCCAGACCGTGAGTTGTTAAGGCGACCGATTTCAAGTCAGCCCTGTTTCGGTCATGCCTATATATGGTACCGAGCTCTCTCTCGGGGTCTATGCATTTAACATTCCACTTGGCCGGATAACTAGCCTCTCCATCACAAGCTAACGACAACTGTGGTAGCTCCTGTAAATCGACCGCCATCTCTACTTCGTTGCGAACGTAGACAGGCATGCTCTGAAGGAGGGCGACGTTACTCGTAACTTCAAGTATGGCGATCGAATGTTCAGGCCCTCGGTTGATCTCCTCCAATACATAGAATGATGCATAATCATGCAGGATCACCCTGTCATCCTTGAAGATGACAGTAGCCGCTCTCCCCGAGAACCATAGAGTCTTGTTCCTCCTGCAATTGTCCACTCCTCCGGCGTCTCAGCAGTCTGCCCTCCAGACATAGTCACGCTCCTGGATTTCGAAAACATCAGAAAATCGGCTGTTGTGAGAACAACACCGTCTTCCGGCGCATTCTTGAACGCCCGCACTCTGTACGTAGTTCTATGACCAACTGGGGTTATTGCAGTGGGTGCCCATTGACCTCGTCCTATACTGACCACCTCTATAGGGACATGTTCTCTCGCCAGCTCGTAACCTGTCACTATCGTACGTCCAGTACTGACCTCCGCCGTGCTTGATCCAAACTCCATGAGCAGGTCCGAGCAGCCCAAGAGGATGGTGGCTATTAACAAGATCCATCGGAAGTAGGTGTCACTCCTGTCCTCTTCGGAAACTAGCAATCCTCTAGAGTAAGGGCGTGGGGCAAATGCCACGGCCCGGCCGGATGTAACTCTGCGGCCTGCCCGCATTGCAACACCCGAAGACCACATTCTGGATGATATTGTTGTAGCCACCGAGCTGAACAAGATGAACCGAGCTACGTTCCACAACGGGACCCCTATGCCTAGGTCGAAAATCATAATTGCGCGTTCGCAATTTGTCGTCAAGAAAGAGAAAGTTCTGTGGAAATCCAGTTGAATTTCATCCGGCGCAGGTCCCCAAAGGAGGAAGAGCTCGAACGAACAGCGATGCAGAAGCTCTTGAGGATGGGAGTCGTGGAGCACGTATCTTCCCCTTGGGCGGCGTGCAATGTGTTCGTCCGCAAAAAGGACGGGTCTACGAGAGTTACATCAGACTTCCGAGGTCTGAATACCGTCACAGTGGGGGACTCAATACCCAATGGAGGATGTGCGCTCTACTCTGGACTGGATGGGTAGCAAAAGCATTTTTTCTACCTTGGCCTAAAGGACGGGCTTTTTCAAGTGAGCCTCGCTGAGGGCTCTCGCGACTACACTGCCATACGCACGGTCATTGGTTTGCTGAGGTATGTGCGGCTGCCCCAAGGGCTGAAGACCTCTCCGACAGTATTTCAGAGAGTGGTCACTGCCTTTTTACGGAGTAGGAAGGGCAGCGATGTGTAGGCGTGTATGGATGACATAAGTACAGTGCGCACTGAAAGTATCAGGGCACCATTGAAACCTTGAGCTTGCACAAAAATACGAAAGGTATGATAATGAAAAGCAGCTCATATGAAAGGGAAGAGAAAGAGTGTAAAGAAGCTGCAATCGTTTTTATAGTTCGGTACTTGTACAGTGACTTATCTATAAAAAACTAAACAATAGTATAAAAGGGGACCCGGCGGGGAGGAACAGAGAGAGAGGGGGCAGCTGGATGAGGCCTGGACGTCGAGTGGATTCTTGACGAGCGGCGAGCATCGGGTGGACTACCGTTGAGCCGAGTGGATTCACGGTGACCGCTTCAAAACCAGTACACGCTTGGTTCGACAGTGCCCAAGTTACCGAGCACAACACAAGGGTACTGAAGATACTGTACCGTTGGGTACAGCAGCCTTGTACTGTGCACAACTGGGACCCATAGACGGGAGTTCTTACGTTGCGCACGTAGCAGCATTGCAGCATCAAGAAAAAAGATGTAAGCGCCTCATCTTTGGGGATGCACACGTGTTGATCACTGCGTCGCCCAAGACGCGTCGGCTCCATCGGAACAGCGTCCCCCAATTGCGTTCGCTGTCCCAACGGATGCGCCACGCCGCACTCGTGTCGCCCGTCGAGTGGGCCACGCAAAAAATCTACCAATCCTGCACATTTCGCCGCACTTCTCACCGCTCATTCCCAAACTGGGACATGTCCATCCGTGCCCCTCCTCCGTCGCACCCAGCCTCTTCTGCCGTTGCATGCACACGCATCCACCCCTCTTCCCTCCAAGGCCGCCTTGCAGAATTACCCACCTCCCCCTCCGCACCCGCTTTCCTCCCGACCCCGACGCAACAGCGCATGCCGCCAGTTCCCTGCCACCAGCTCGTTGAGACCGGTGCGTCGCCCCCCTCTAAGCTGCCGCGCGGGCTGCCGAGCCGCGACGCGGCCCCCATGGTACAGGAGCGCATGGCCCAGAACGGTGTGCGACGGCTGCCTGCCGCGGAAGCACCTCTCAACGTCGTCGTCACGGGCGGCTCCACAGGGATCGGAAAAAGTATCGTCGAGTGCTTCGCAGCAGCGGGCCACAGAGTCCTCTTCACCTACCTGTCCTCCGTGCATGGCGCGGACGCTCTCGAGGCGAAGTATAAGGCTGTCACCAAGGCAAAGCTGGACCAGGGAAGCGTCTTGTCAGTGGCCAACTTTGCAGGTGTCGTGGCAGAGTGGGCAAAGGGGGAGGGCGTTCATGTTCTTGTGAATAACGCCGCCCTAGGATCGGCTACGGTCCAGAAGTATGTCGATGGCGTTGGCGGCCATAGCGTGGTGGATGTTGTCATGAAGGACATGAAGCTCTGCAACGGTGGCGAGAAAAAGGCAGATCTACCTGAATCTGCTTTGGGCATGATTCGTCGTGCAGCGCAGGACGAAGCCCTGATGCGCGTTAATGCCCTCGGGCCTTTGTGGGTCACCGACGCCCTCATGGACTCGATTAAGATGGCCGCATCTGTTCAGGGTAGAGGTCGGTCGTCCATTGTTTTTATCGGCTCTGTCGGCGGCGGGAGCGCGTCCGTGTTTCCAGAGTATTGCGCGGCGGACTTAATGAGCAAATCGGCGCTGTCGTATTTATCAAAGCACTTAGCTGCACAGCACGTGCGCGACTCGATTGATGTGTGTTGTGTCGCGCCGGGCGCGACGGAGACGGAGATGTTTAGAAGAAGCACGCTGTCCAAGGTTTCGGATGTCGACGCCTTTGTGGATAGCATGCCGAAACGAAGATTGATACAGCCGGAGGAAATTGCAGATGCTGTGTTTTGGCTTGCGACACAGAGCCCACCCGGAATATTTCATGGCGCGGTTTTGGACGCTTCTATGGGCCTTGCTGTACGACCTGGTCTGCAAACGGAATCCAGGCGGTAGTCCCATAGACAACTATCATCGTCAGCGCACCACCAGGACTTGCCAGCGAATCATCACACATGAAGCCTCTCAGAGAGGCACAGCACCACAAACAAACAAGGAACAAGGAATGGTTTATATATTACAAGTATACATTAGACGTTGGGCTATCCACTTTCACGACCCCCCCCCTCGGTCGCAGCGGAAAGCCATTATTGAGTGTTAAGCAGACCGGGGAAATGTACAACCACACGCAGCGGAAGCATAAAAACCAAACAAACATTAACAAGCAGTAATTCTGCCCTACCTCACAATCTCCCGCCCGTAGTCATCAGCCGTCCCGGTCCACGTCTTTCCAGACTGTAGTTTGTTCGTCCCACCAAAGTCAAGCCCGATTGACACCCTTTCTGACGAGGAGCCAAGCACTTGGACGGGCTTATATTCACCCGCGTCCAGGGCTTTCTTTGACGACTTCTTTCTGCGCAGTCCCCCCAAGGACGGCTTGCACATCTTATCCGCAAGGCGTTCGCGAGCTTCCTTGACTTCCTGCGGGTTTGTCGGCGCACCGTTCAGGAGCGGGGGCGCCTTGGCGGGACTGAGAGGTGGGGGCAGGTCGAGGTTCTCCACGCCTCCCCAGTCGATGCCGTCAAAGAACGGGTGCTTCTTGACATCCACAGCGTCGCTACGGGCGCTCCCCAACCTAGTGGCCGGGTCTTTATCCAGGAGCCTTCTAATGAAGTCCTTGCATGCGTCAGAGGTACTGACGAGCTTGTCATCATTATCTAGGTCCAGCTCCTCGTTAAGAATGCGATGGTGCAGCTGCTCGCGGCTCTCGTTGGCGGCAAACGGCGGGCGCCCAGCAAGCAGAACGTAGGCTAAGACGCCGAGGGCCCACCAATCGACGACGCGGCCGTGCCCCTTGTCCGCGAGCATCTCCGGAGCCTGGTAAATAGCGGTACCCGAAATATCAAAGATGGCCTGCTCACCGGGCTCGCCCGACACAAACTTGCCGGCGAGGCCAAAGTCGGTCAGACGTACATGGCCATGCTCGTCGATGAGGATATTCTCGAGCTTGAGGTCCCGAAAGACAAAGTCATGCCTATGCAGCTCTGCGACGGCGATGACGATTTCAGCGAGATAGAACCTCATCTGCTCCTCGGTCAAGCAGCCATGCATCTTCAACAAGTCGTACATGTCCCCTCCCGACACGTACTCGAGGACGAGGACGACGGCGTCGGGGGTCTGAAAGCCCGAGTGGCACTGGACGACGAACGGGTGCGGGCCGGCCTCGCGGAGGACCTGGCGCTCGGTGACGATGGAGGCGAGCTGCTGGGCCTCGATGAGCTGGAGCTTGCTCATGGCCTTGGCGGCGAACAGCTGCCCCGTGGACCTCTCGCGCACCAGGACGACCGTGCCGAACGTGCCCTCGCCCAGCAGGCGGATCGGCTCGCAGCCGGGGAGCACGGTGGACGTGGTGGCGGCCAGGCCGGGCGGCCACGCGGCGCCTCGGCGCTTCCGCGGAGAAGGCGGC